TGGAGAAATATCTATTCAAGTCCTTTGCCCACTTTTTAGTTGGGTTCTTTTTTGTTGTTGTTGAGTTATAGAAGTTCCTTGTAGAGTCTGAATATATACATTATCAGATATATGATTTGCAAAAATCTTATCCCATTCCATAGGTTGTCTATTCACTAAGTTGATTGTGTCCTTTAATGCACATAAGTTTTAAATTTTGATTTAGTCTAATTCATCTTTGTTTTACTTTCGTTGCCTGTGTTTTTACTGTCATACCCAAGGAATCATTGTCAAATCCAATGTCATGAAGTATTTCCATGGTTTCTTCCAAATGTTTTATAATTTTAAGTTTTATGTTTAGGTCTTTGATCCATTTTGAGTTAATTTTTTAATATAACATAAATTCACCCAACTTTATTCTTTTGCATGTGAATATTCAGTTTTCTATAGCCTTCTTATCACAAATGAACACTAACTGGCTTTAGGTTAGGGATAGTTACATAAGAAAAACTTTTCTGATTAGACCTAACAACTTTTTCTGACAAAAGAAGATAATTTATGTCATATACAAACAAACTAGTATTAAACATCAACTACCCCATTTAATATTTTCAAATATTAATTTTACAAATATGTTCATTTTTCTAAGCCTAAGTACTCATGATACAGAACTGTTTTATTTAGAGAAGCATTCATACCTAAATATTCAACTACTGGAACTGTTTTTTTTCCCTGAAAGTATCTTCAGGTAGCACCTGGTTTTGGAAATGCCAAGTTTATGCATGAATTTTGAAGTATTTGTCCATCTAAAAGTAAGGCAGGAAATAGTCTCGGTAGAATCTCATGGACCAGAGAGAGAGACAGAGAGACAGAGAGACAGAAAACATTTGAAGAGAAAACTCTACAAACATTAAAACCCTCAAAAAATTTCCCCATACCACACCTTTCTAAAAAAGGAGACATGACTACTGTCAAATCAGAAGGCAAATGGATGACTCAGGTGGCACTAATTTTTCCTAACTTACTTGAATCTATAAAATAGGCAAATTTTTAAAATTATTCTACCAACTTGACATTATTGCCATTCATAAAATTATTCCATAAGGTGGAAAAATAATAAAATAAACCTCCAAGTATTAAACATTTCTAGGTTATTATGCAACAAAACAAATTCTAATCATCAAACCAATATATTTTTCATTCCTATTATGCCAAATAATTCAATTATGAACTGCAACCAAAATATAAATTACACCTATATTGTGGTAAGTACTGTATACTCTTAGTTCAAAGGAATACTATTTCTTGTCAAACTGATGATTGTATCATGTAACCCGAATGATGACATTGGCATATAAAGACTCCACCACTCTTTAAAAACTGTTTCTAGTCTATTCCATTTTAAATACCATCCAATAATATCCTTTAATAACATTAATGTACCACCAAATTACTTTCCTTATAGAACAAAGACAAGCACTTTAAAGCTTATAAAATGACTAATTCTTAATGTTGTCAAACTAAGTTAAGCAACTTAATGCAATTATTAAATGTACCAACTTCTTTAAAAATTGTACCAATTACAGAAACTTTCACTGTTTTTTATAATGTACATCAGTAACTTGGCTTAAGCAAAATTGTTTGGGCAGGATGGCTTTTTTGGAGGGGGGAGAGTGATGAATTTTGGTAGCCATTTTTGAAGCCATAGCCAAATCCAAGTTTTTGGTAATACTCTGCATTCACCCAAATCAAACAAGAGCACTTGATATTATAAAATGGAATCTCTTCCTTTATCTGGTTTTGAGCTCATAGTGCTAAAGTAGGGCACATTCTTGTTTTGCTTTAGAGCCTCCATTGTCAGTATTAAGGGTAGTTTTCACCATAGACAGAACAACTTTGGTTTCAGCTGGGCAGCTTTTAGAATTGCCCATTGCCTGGGCAGGTCTTATACCACTTTCTGTTACACTGTGATTAATTATTTCAACTCTGAACCTAGTTTTTACCATCAATAAATTGAGGTTATTAATTCACCCTTTTACCTTAATGTATTTTCAATTGCTTTCGTCTTGTTTTCTCAACACCAAAGCCTGTGGATGTCTTTTAAGAATATATTCATCCTTCATCCCCTCCCTCTCTCTTTCACCCATTCATTCAATTGCTATTCTGTCATGCCAGGTACAAGGTTGAACTAGTATACCACAAACAAAACAGACATGGTCCCCACTCTCTTGAAATCTACAGTCCAACAGAGATGGCCAATATTATAAATACACATAAAATTTCAATAATTATATGCTCAGTAAAATAAGCCAGGCAGAGAAAGACAAGTACCAAATGATTTCACTCATCTGTGGAGTATAAGAACAAAGAAAAACTGAAGGAACAAAACAGCAGCAGAATCACATCTATAGCATCTTACTACACTGATGGACAGTGACTGTAATGGGGATTGTGGGGGGGACTTGGTGAAGGGGGAAGCCTAATAAACATAATGTTCTGCATGTAATTGTAGATTAATGATAACAACAACAAAAACATTTCAATAATTATTTCGGTAATGCTGAGTGCTAAGATACTACAAGAACCTATAAATAGGGGTATCTGATCAAGTCAGGGAGATCAGAGGAATCCCTGAGAAAGGAGACCTTGATCTAAACTCTGTATTTACATGATAAGTAGGCCTTAAACAAAGGGAGCAAAAGTAATCCAAGCAAGCAAACAGCACAAAGGCTCTATGGCGGAAGCAAACATGTTGAATTTGAAGAACTAAAAGAAAACTCAATGTGACTAAAAGGAAGGGGGCTGCATAATATACAATGAAACTGGAGAAGAAGACAGATTCTATAGTCCCAAAGGGTTAGAAGCAGGGAACTGATAGGCTAGTTTTGTGTTTCACAAAGACATTGATGGCAATGTGGAGATAGATTTGGAAGGGGGCCAACATGATGGGTGAATTAGGAGGTAATTATAGTAGTTTAGGGAACAGATCATTGGTAAATCAGAGTATAGACTACAGTGGAGGGAAGGCAGAGAGATTTTAGAAGTATTTAGATAAAATGAACAGATTTGGGTGATGGATTGGGTATGGGGAGTATATTAGTTATTTATTTCTGTGTAAAAAATTACCCTAAACCTAGCAGTTTACAATAAGTATCTCATAATTTTGGTGGGTCAGGAACCATAATTAGTTGGGTGCCTCTGACTCAGGCTTAGTCATAAGGCTGCAATCAAGGCGTTGACCAGGGATGCAGTGACCTCCATGTTTGACCAGGGAAGGATTCACTTGCAAGCCCACTTGGGTGGATATTGACAGGCCTCAGGTCCTCACTAACTGTTGACCAGATCTATCAGTTCCTTCCCACATGGACCTCCCTGGGGCCTACTCACAACACGGCAGCTTGCTTTCTTCAGAGTGAGGACAGGTCTTCCAAAGGGGGCGCCACCCTTGCTGACACCTTGATTTTAGACTTCAGGCCTCCAGAACTGAGACAGAATAAATTTCTGTTGTTTTAAGCCACTCAGTTTGTGGTAATTTGTTACAATAGCAACAGGAAACTGATACACCCTTCCACAGTCATTCCCTATTGCTGGATTCATGGCATTTATCACAGTTGTAATAATTTGTTCACTTATTTATTGTATCTCACCCAATACATAAGCTCCATGAAGATGGAGGCTTGTCCTGGCTCTTAGCATAGTGTCTACAATATATTGCATTCCTAGAAATTATCTGTAAAATTAATGAATGGATAAATGTCCCCCAATAGATAGCAAGTCTTGTAAGACAGAGATCCTGTCTATTGACCATATTTCCCAAAGTCTCCAGCACAGAGCCTTGCCCAAAACTGTTGTTGAACTAGGTTTCAGTTCTAGAAATCAGGAATTCTGGATTCTAGGTATCATACTGCAATTTACAGTTATGTGACAGCCCCGCCTCTACGTTGGGCACATCTGGTATTAGATCTAGTTGAAATAAGTTTATTCCTTATATGTCTCCTTAGCCCTAATGAAAAGCAGGTCCAGAGAGCATTCATTTTCTCATACTGTACACGATCCGGAGTGCTTGGAATATTATAGGGACACAAAATGTTTGAGACTTTGGGGTGCATTAAAATATCAAGAGCAGCCATAACTGAAAGTCAACACTGCATCTTGGAGTAAACTCTGGAAATCAACTCTGAACCTCAATATTCTCAACTGAACAAGACTAACTCTTAGTGTGAACCTGTGAACCACCTGGCCTATAGCAGGGGCTCCCTGAGTGGAACCAGATTATTAATAACCCTATGCCACTGACCAGACTCAGCCTTGAACACAGCATTACACAAGAGCTCCAAACCAGTTCCCTCACTTATTGGCTGTGATTTTCATCAAGGTATTTTACTTTTCAGAGCCACAGCTCTTTTGCCAAAAACTAATGATAATGCCTGCCTCGTAAGAGTGGTTCTGACATTGAAAATAAATGAAGTAACCGAGTAGTTAAAGTGCCTGGCTCCATATGTTATGTAGTTACTATTTTGAGCAAAAACCTTGGCTTTCTAACGTGTGCAGTGATCATGAGTAAATACTTTTACTTCCCTGGGCCTAAGGAAACAACGAATGGGTCTAAGTGACCCTGTCTCGACGAACCCAAGTTTGGGAGCCATCGAACCAAAGGCCAAGTGAGGGTTCCATGATTCCATGATTCCATGAGTCTCCCTCAGCAACCTACCAGTTATCAGGGCTTACAACGAAGAGCAACGTGACAGGTTTTCTAGAAGAGTCCAGCCTCTGAGGCAGCTCTTAAACCAGGATAAGTTGAAGCTTTTTTTCTGACACAGGCCACCGGGTAAGGAGCGCGCGGGTCACAAGTTACGCGGTCCACGACCTCCCTAAAAGATCCTCGGTTACCGGGGCAACGCGTACGTCACCGCGTAACCTTACGTGCCTCTCAGCGATAAGCCCACAGAGCACAACGCGCAGGCGCTTCGTGGGAGCCAATGGGTGCGGCCGGAACATTGGCGCCGTTCGGCCCCGCCCCTTCCAGTCGGCTTCGGGGGCGGGGCGGCGGTGGGAGTGCGCCCGCCTTTCCCGGGCGAGGGGCGGTTGTTGGTTACGCATAAGCAGCTCCCCAGGGCCCGCCCGGAGCCAGCCCCGGCAGCGGCGCCCTCCCACTCCCGGGCACCCCTTGGACGGGGGCTGCAGTGGTGCAGGTAGCGGACCTGAGGTGCAGCTGACCAGGGCCCGAGAAGAGCCTGACCGAGTCGGGGCCCAGCACGAAGCCCTGCCCCGGCCGTCGGGCTCAGGGTTCCCGCCCGCCGATCTCCAGCCATCAGAGTCGCGCTACTCGCTGGAGGCCCTGAGCTCCGTGTCCCCCCAAGCCCCGGGCCTCTTGCGGGAATGTTCAAAAATGAGTACCAGGTAACCCGAAACGGCTCTCAACCTGTTCATAATAGTGTTCTCCCCGTGGGTGAGGTAGCTCGCGTTCGGGCCCAGGACAGTGCTTCCCCACTACCCCAGCCTTGACGGGCTTTTTCGGGGTGAGAAGGAATTAGTGGGTGAGTGGTAAAGAGAAAGAAGAAAAAGAAGGCAACCAAGGTCTGGGCATCTGATTCGGCTTTTGCAACTTCCAGTTAAGTGCTTTTCGAAGAGTAGGGATTGCCGGTGATTCTGATTGAAGTGCTGATCTGCAGTTCCCACCAGATCTCCAGAATCAGAATCTTGAGGGCAGGGCCCCTAAATCTAGAGTTTTAACCAGCGCTTTGGATTCCCACGATTAGATGCACAGTGGTGTCTCATATGCTGTTTAAAAAGACAGGGAATAAGTGAAAGCCTGAATGGGTTAAACCAAGAAAGAAAAGCATTTTGGCCGTGTACTGTCCCGTTTTCCCCCAAAACTAGGGAGTCAGTGATTCTCAAACCATGGGGTACATAGCATCACTTGGGGTACTTGAAAAAATGCAGATTTATTGACCCTCACTCCAGATCCAGTAAATCAGAATCTTTGTAGGTGGGGCTGGTTAATTTACCTTTGAACAGCTTCCCCCAGTTGATTCTGATGCAGATGGTCCAAAGAAGACACTGGGAGAAACTGCTTCTGGATTTTCCTGAGTCACCTTGACTCTCCTAGAGTCTCCAGCCCATGGCCCACTTTTCTTACCTCGCTGGGCGTCTCCCTTGCTGCTTTGTCTCCTTCCCTCCCGTCCTACCTTTACCTGAGGTTACCTTCTCTACTTACAAACTGTCTACCATATAGTCCTGCTGTTAATATGATAAACAGTTTTGTCCCTGTGCCCCAAAACAGTCCTCCACGGGTCACTTCTTTGTTGCTCCTTTTTAACCAAATACTACCAAATGATGTCATTTCTTTATTTGATATTATTAAATGTGTTAGAACAATTTTAGTTTCTCTCACTTAACATAGGTAAAATATACTTTTATAAAACATGTGTCCACTGTGGGCAACGTGGAGGAAGCAGAAACAGATTGGAGGAGAGTTTTCTATCTCAATAGATAAATCATTTTTCTCTTAAAATAAAAGGCTGCCATATTTAAAGATCATAGTCCTATATGACCCAACCCAAGAAGCTATAGTAATTCTGTCCATGCACAGTATGAGCGTAATGCTGAGGAAGAAGAAATTAGATGTCTTAGAGTGATTACATGTTAAAACTCAGAAGTAAAACATCATTATATTACTGAGAAAAATTAAAAGCTGTGAAGTCTTTACAAAAATCAGACACTTTTGCTCATGTGCTGCTTATAATTCAAACAAGCCATAAAAGAAAACCATGTTAAGTCTTCATTTCAAGGTTCTCAATTTCTTGTAATTAACTCTTCCTCAGAGAGAATCATCTTGCTGAATCCTCTCTTTTAAAATTAAGGCTTACAGATATTTAGTAATGTTTTTAGTGTTTTTACATAAGCATGTCCCCCCATTTTCTTCTCGGGTATACAGTAGGGAAACACCTAGCATGTCTGTAGAAATGATTTTCTTTCTTGTACAGATTTTATAGATCTGCAAATTAATTTGTATTAAATATATAAAAAGATCTCATTCAGAATAATGCTCAGAATAAGAATCACACCCTCCTACCCCACCCCCACTCCTTCCTAAGCTTTTTTATTAATCAGTACTAAACTATTCAATTTGCCATTAAGAAAAAAATACTTTGCCGGAGTTATAGAGTCTTTCCCTAATGCAAGGTAGTATGTTTGATAGCTTATGTTTACAATGCCATGTAATCCTACAACCCATTTTACAGATGGAAAATCAAGATAGTTAATAAATGTCAAAGTTGGTATTGGAGGTCAGGTCAGTATGACTAGAAAGCTTATAACCAGAAATAATTATCAGAATTTCTTAGCCTGGCTTAAGAGTTGTATTTTAACCCCTTCATTAGGGTTGAATAGAATGTTTTATAAGCATGGTCTGTACATGCCAAGTAAGGGAACTCCATATTGAGAGACTAAGATTTATATTGCACAATCTGTTTAACGTTTATCATGCTTTAAAACAAATCCGTCAACCATTAATCCAAGGTGACCCAAATCAGAACGGCTGTGGCTTAGGTGCAATCAAGGTATAAAGGAGGAGTAATAACAGGGATAATGTTTCCTCCCAGATTTAGCTCACAAGATGCCTGGGACAGTGAATAGACCATGTGGTGGATAGCATTTCCTCCTTAGCAGTGTCTTGCACTTGAATTTAAATATTTCGTTTTTGTTTTCTAGGGAGGTGCATTTGTTGAAATCTTTAGTGCTCAGGGGAAAAATCCTGGAGCAAAATGGAAGATACTTGGCACTCCATCTGTGATTTGGAAAGTAAGTGTTAGAAATTAGAGCCATCTAAGTCCTGGAAAGGAATGAGAATCGAGGTTGTAACAGAAAGGGCTTGAGAGGATTGCAGAACTGTTTTTCCTGTTCGTTCACTCTAACACTCTTTCCTGACATTGTTGGCTGCAGCCTTCTCATACATCACTTCCCAGTCCTTTAAGACTTTGGCCCAGAGCTCATAACCCTTCTCTGCATGCCAAGTCCTGCCATTGTTTTAGGGGACTTCAGTATCTGTGAAAAGTCTCTTCAAACCTTAGGCTTCTCAGTTTCTTGACTTCGTCACCCCTAATGGCCTCTCCTACTTTACTTCTGTACCCATTCCCTCTGTCACACCCTGTACCTTATCACCTACAACTTCAGGGCTTCTGAAATTACTAAGACATTCAGATCTCCGTCTCTGACCCCAGTCTTCAGTTCTTAGAGCTGCTAGCTCAGTTACTCCCACTGGATTTGTTTTTCAACCTAATTGACACCCTGAGGCCTTTGATCATTCTACTTTCCCCTGTTTTTCATTTTATTTATGTATTTTCTCTGCCTTCACTTCTTTCCCTCTCCAGCCCAGATCCATAGTTACATAATTTTAATCACTGCTCAGTCAAGACTTCGAATGCCCTTGCTCCCCCAGGAAATGACATTTGATCTCTAAGAGTTAAGTATGCACTAGTGGGGCTGATGGAGAGAAGAGTGTTTCAGGCAAAGGGAAAAGCATATACAAAGTCCTTGGGTCAGGAGAGAGCTTGGAATGTTTTAGGAACTGCAAGAAGGCTAGTAAGGTTAGGATGCAGAGAGAAGAGAGAGTGCAAGGTGGGAGACTGAGGTTTGAAAACGTGGGCAAGGGCTAGACTATGCAGGGGTTTATGGACCATGTTGAAGATTTTGGGTAGCTGTTGATTTTATTTTAGATTCCACTTAATTTGTAGCAGCCATTAGTTAACGATGCATTTCTTACCACATACAGAAAGGAAGACTGGGAGGATCCGTGACATACTTTAATGTGAAGAAGGGGTCTTTATACTCAAATTTAGGAATTCTCTTGCAATAAAAAAAATAACAGTTTACCTTTCACTTTGACTCATGGAAATTGGACTCTCACGTGTAGGAGGTTTTTCATTTCCAGGTTTCTTTTGTTTCTGTTTCTCCCACCTTAGTTTTTTAGGACACCTTAATTGTAACACTTTACTTTGCACTGCTTTTAAGTAAACAATATATAGAACTTCAAGATGGAGCACTAGTGAAATAAGGCAGTGATTAATTCTAAGTGGGCCGTAGCCCGGAACCAAGGAACTTCCAGACTGGAGAGAGCATAGGTTAGATAATTTCTGTAACAGGGAGTGATATTCAGCCTGTGCTGTTAGAAATACATAGATGAAAGGAGAGAAAGGGGAACTAGACTGGAAACTCTAAATTAGTAACTTGGGAGTCCCTGAAATCATGGATAACTTCTTATTGTCTGGAAGAAGAGAGTGTCTTGATCATAGAAGATTTGTCAAGGGTGTTACTGTGGCTTTTATACTCCAGTTTCCAACAAATCTCAGGGTAAGAGTATCATCAAGGCCTGAGCTTACTTTTAAGTCATTTGAATCTGGGACATTTTCCTGTGGGTTTGTAATTCCAGTTTTCTAACAGAAGCCAAATAAAATGTGCTTCAGCTACCACTGTGTTCATTTTTGTTCTCTAGGAGTTTGATAAAGAAGTTAAAAGCTTTGTGTTTGTCCTGGAAGGCAGCAGTCAAACAAATAAAATTCAGTTACCAAAGGAGAATAAGCAAATCCGTAAGTGAGATTGACATTTTTAATAAGTAATATTTTTTAAAGAATAATTTTTAACGAATAAGCTTAACATTTGATGCTTAAAGCTATACTTGTAAGTCTTACAATCTTACACACAGGCATTAGTTTGACTGTTATTGGCATCTGTTGATGTAAAGCGACAGTTTTTTTTTTTATTTAGAAAGTAACCTTACCCATGCTTTATTTCTCTACAGTCTGCTTCACTGTTTATTAGAAATCTAGTAGCATTTTTAAGAAGGTTTAGAAGATTATTTCATAGCCATTAATTTTAATAATAACAGGATTTGTTAAGCACTTAGTGCCTATTACTTTCTAAGCATTTTACATTTAATCCTCACAGTAGCTCTTTTACAGATGAGTGCACTGAAGTTAGTTCCTCCTCAAGATATCAGGTATTTAAGGCTAAGCTTTGAAATAAACTCAGGAGTTCCTAAATTATAGGAAATTAATTTGTGAGAAAAAATTTTTGTACAATACTATAGAAAGCATTCTTTAGTGACATACCAACACTTGTGTATCTTTAGAAATATTAATATCTAGTAAGTATAGATATGGATATATGTTTTTTTTTAATCCCAAAGAGTAGATTTTAATTCTTACTTACTTTGGAAATTAGAATCAGCATTCTAAAGTGGAAGGAACCCTGAGAGATCCCCAAAGTTTATGATCAGCTTTAGGTCATAATCTGCCCACTTCAAATCTGCCCACTTATTGGCAGAACTGGGGTTAAAATTCAAGGCTGCCAGATTAGGCTTTTAGTAACCTAATGTCATTTAAGAAATACAGTTTTTCAAAATGATTAATCAGATTTTCATCAGCTTTGCCCAAAGTTTTAACTGTAAATTTCAGATGATTTAAGAAATAGAAGTAGCCAATTTATTTTTAATTGAAGTATTATTTATATACAGTCTTATGTTGGTTTCAAATAAACAACATAGTGGTTCAACAGTTATCCATATTATTAAATCCTCACCCCCTTTAGTGCATTTACTATCAATGTAGAAAGATGTTCCAGAGTCATTGACTATATTCCCCATGCTGTACTACCATCCCGATGACCAGCTTATATATGATAGTGAATTATTGTGCCTCTTTTTCCCCCTTCCCCTTGGTAACCACAAGTCATTTCTCAGTGTCTGTGAGTCTGCTGCTGTTTTGTTCTTTCTGTTTTGCTTTGTTTTTAGTCCACAGATAAGTGAAATCATATAGTATTTGTCTTTCTCCTGCCTGGCTTATTTCACTGAGCATACCTTCTAGATCCATACATGCTGTTGTGAATGGTTCTAAGCATTTTACATTTAATCCTCACAGTAGCTCTTTTACAGATGAGTGCACTGAAGTTAGTTCCTCCTCAAGATATCAGGTATTTAAGGCTAAGCTTTGAAATAAACTCAGGAGTTCCTAAATTATAGGAAATTAATTTGTGAGAAAAAATTTTTGTACAATACTATAGAAAGCATTCTTTAGTGACATACCAACACTTGTGTATCTTTAGAAATATTAATATCTAGTAAGTATAGATATGGATATATGTTTTTTTTTAATCCCAAAGAGTAGATTTTAATTCTTACTTACTTTGGAAATTAGAATCAGCATTCTAAAGTGGAAGGAACCCTGAGAGATCCCCAAAGTTTATGATCAGCTTTAGGTCATAATCTGCCCACTTCAAATCTGCCCACTTATTGGCAGAACTGGGGTTAAAATTCAAGGCTGCCAGATTAGGCTTTTAGTAACCTAATGTCATTTAAGAAATACAGTTTTTCAAAATGATTAATCAGATTTTCATCAGCTTTGCCCAAAGTTTTAACTGTAAATTTCAGATGATTTAAGAAATAGAAGTAGCCAATTTATTTTTAATTGAAGTATTATTTATATACAGTCTTATGTTGGTTTCAAATAAACAACATAGTGGTTCAACAGTTATCCATATTATTAAATCCTCACCCCCTTTAGTGCATTTACTATCAATGTAGAAAGATGTTCCAGAGTCATTGACTATATTCCCCATGCTGTACTACCATCCCGATGACCAGCTTATATATGATAGTGAATTATTGTGCCTCTTTTTCCCCCTTCGCCTTGGTAACCACAAGTCATTTCTCAGTGTCTGTGAGTCTGCTGCTGTTTTGTTCTTTCTGTTTTGCTTTGTTTTTAGTCCACAGATAAGTGAAATCATATAGTATTTGTCTTTCTCCTGCCTGGCTTATTTCACTGAGCATACCTTCTAGATCCATACATGCTGTTGTGAATGGCAGGATTTCTTTTTATGGCTGAATAATATTCCATTGTGTATATGTTCCACTTTTTCTTTATCCATTCATCTATTGATGGATGTTTAGGTAGCTTCCATATCTTATAGAAGTAGCTAAATTTTTTTATAATCATGATTTACTTATTCCTTCCTTCATTCATCAAGAACATTAATTAAATACCTACTGTGTACCAGGTACTGTGGAAAGACAGTTCTTGGTACAAGATTTTCTCATTTTAATTCAGTTTTCTAAATTTTCATAGGCTCTCTACTGTACGTACCATTTCAACTACTATATTTGCATATTTTAGACTTCTAAGACATTAAAGCAAGCCTAGAAATCACACATGGAAGATGATTAATTTTAAAATTGGTTGATAGTGTTTCTTTCTATAGTAAGAGCCTGCACTTCAAAGGAAGGGATAATCATTATTAAAATAACTTTTATTAATTTATTACCAGTTTAAAATCATGATTTCTTCATAGTTCCTGTGTGTTCCTTTTTTTAATAGCAAAGGTTTTTTTTCATTTCCACGAAAATTTATAAATGAGGTGAACTAAGATGAGCCAGGGAAACATATCTGAAGCTGTAGGTTATTCTTTAGGGGATGTACCATCTTTTAAGGATATTGACCTTGTGGGATAGATACATTTGATTCGCAAAAATATGTCTTTGTTCAAAGCCAGTATTCTTTTGTTTTTTTTTCTCATTGTTGGCCTGTACTTCCATGTAATGCCCTCAGCATCCATGCACATGATCATGTCAGTGACAAAATCCAAAATCAAACCACTTCTACAAACCTTTTTCATTTGGCTCTGAGAAAGATTTCTCCTCTACCAAAGGCTCAGTAACTAAAGACAAGCTGCCCTTTCCTACTTTTCTGTAATGTTTTTTTTAAATAAAATAAATTTAATGAGTTATAATTGCTTTTTAAATGGAAAGATGATAGTTTTAATTGAAAGAAACAGAATAATATCTTAATGTATTTCTTATACAAATGCCCTGTAATTAAAAATTAATCTGGTTTTTCTGAAGTACGGCAGCACTGTAACAAACGAAACAGTTTATATTGCCTGCGCTGTACTAATACCTTTAAGATAGTTTGTCATTTTTCATAACAGAACTTTACAGTTATTTTTAGCTTTATAAAATAACCTTCTAAGTGAAGTTGTTATGGCCTAATTTAAATTAAATGGCATGTCTTGAATAGAGAATTGCCTTTCAATTAACATTTGTAAATCTAGTTCCATTACATTATGTATTCCTATTTTAAGAGTAAACATCCACTTTATTTATGCAAACTTGACATTAGGTACCAATACGTGTTTCCTACTATATTAGGTACTTAGGAAAAAAGTTTAAGAATGAAATTAAGTATTTAACATTTCATTTTAAATAGTAATGTTTCTGAGTTATATTTGAATATCTCTAAATATGTCAATTATTTTTTAATGCAGCAACTTACCAGATAAAGGAAAGTGTGATAGTGATTATCAGTTTGTGCATTTCTCCAGTCAGTGCAGGAATCTTGCACCATCTACCTTGTAGCCCCTAACTTAGTGTATCGTGTACAGTTGGTGTTTAATAATCTTGTTGAATTTACTGCATTAAGAAACTGGAACAATTTGGGTTATAATTTCTTTGTAACCAGCTGTTCTTGGTAATGACACTTGAGTAAATCATTTGTTAGCTGAATAAATTAATCTGCGGTGCTCTTCACTCTGGAACATGTTATGTAGAGGTGCCCCTGTGAGAAACAGCTCTTTCACACAGTAGCATTTGAATGATCTGCCCCAGGACCTTCTGTTTGAGGCTCAAGTTTGAAACCGTGGTTTTCTCTGCCTGTGACATCTGAATCCTGTTGGGTGTCTCCCCGGATCAGCATCCCCAAAGCCTTGTGTTGATCTAAGTTGCCCCTGCCTGGGAGAATGAACTCATCTTTATAAGGTCCGCCCCAAACTTTCTCCCTCCCTCTCTTTTGTATTTTTTTTTAAATGAGTCTCATTATGACTTCCTCTGTTTAAAGCCCTTCAATGGCTTTGACCTCACCACTCTACTATAGTGTCTTGTCAAGAACACTAGTGAATCCAGTGGCCAGTTTTTAGCCCCCATCTGTTTAACATAGCAGCATTTGACAAGTCAGCACCCTCTCCTTGGTAATATTCTCTTCACACATCTTCCAGGATTCCCATACTCCTGCTTTTCTTTCTACTGCACCATCTCCCTTCTTAGTTTCCTTTCATGGTTCTTGTTCTTCTCCCCAACCCAGCTTAACATTGCAGTGCCCCTGGATCTAGTCCTTGACCCTTTATCTTCTTTTACTCCCCTGATTATTGGCTTTAGTCTCATGGCTTTAAATACCATCTCTGTCTTACACCAGCTTCCGTTTCCAGCTCAGACTTCTCTCCCAGACTCCACAGTTGTATATTTAGTTGCTTATTTGGCATTTCTACTTGGACAGCTTTACTAGAAATTCCTCTCCCCCACCTCCTCCTACAGATAGCCCTATCCCAGTTGTTAATGACTTGTCTTTTCAGTTGCTCAGATCAAAAACTCTTTAATCAGTCTGTTTTTTTCTTCTTTGCATTCATTCCACCAGGAAGATCTTGTTGGTTAGACTCAAAGTTTGACAACTGCTGGCCACCTCCAGTGCTTCCATCTTGGTCCCAGCCATCATTAACATATCCTTGGGATGTTACTCTTTTCTTCTGATTGTCCTGCCTGTTTCTGACACACCTCCCCTACGGTCTGTTGTCATTTGAGCAGCTAGAATGATACTTTCAAGTGTAAGACACTCCTATGCTGAAAGTGCCCAGCTCAGAGTACAGACCAAAGATCAGAGGGACCCTGCGGTATCCGGTGCCCTCATAACTCCGACAGATCTCCTCTTACCCTGGTTCACTCTGCTGTAACCATACGTGTCTCTTTGCTGTTTTCAGACATGACCTGATACCCTGTCACCTTAACACCTGTGTACAAGCTGTACCCTCTGCCTAGAGTATTCTTCTCTCAAATAGCCACATGGCTTATTCTCTCCTTCTTCAGTCCTTTACTAAAAATGTCATCTCGACAGGAGCCCACTCTGATCTGACCCTTCTGCATTCTTGATCCCATTTACCTTGCGCTACCTTTCCCCATAGTACTTATGTCCATTTAATGTACTATTTATTTTTTGTTTTTGTTTTTCTCACTGTCATCAGAAAGTAAGCTGCACCAGCAGAGAAATTTAGTCTATTTTGTTTGCCTAAACAGTGCCTGGCACATAGTAGACCTTCAGTAAATCTTTGTTGAATAAATGAATGAATTGTCTAAGTGGCTCCCATTGGTTTCAGGATGACCTGTGTCCTTTATATGGCCTTCATTGCCCTGAATGATTGCATTCCTGGCTATGTGCCAGATGTACCTCCTTTGTTTTTCCCCTCTGTCTCTTCCACCAGTCCACTAGGCCTTTAATTTCATACAATCTACTATGGCCTTTTTCATCCCATGATGGGTATTCCCTCTCCCTGTAATGTGTGTCCCTCTCTCCTATCCCCTTCTTCGTTGCCCAGTCAATCCCTGCTTATTCTTCCCAGCTGAATTCCAATGTTATTTCTGCAAGAACACCTTTACTCATCATCCTCTTCCCCCCATAGACCCAAGATTATATGCTTTCACAGCGTGCTGATGTTCTCCTTCACAGAACTAGAATGTAAGTTCCTGGAGGGCAGAGACCATGCCTGTCTTATGACAAAAATTCAATTTTGAGTCTTGCTCATAGCAGATGCCCAATAAATTATATTGAATGATAGGTCTAATTTAATCCATACAAATAATCCTGTGAAGTTGAAATCTAAATTAGTAACCTAATTTTACACAGGAAAAGTAAAAGGACCCAGACAGGTTTTCTGATTTGCCAAAGGGGTGTGGAGTAACTCCTAAGGAAGGCATAACTTTCTTTCTGTGTTAAAGTGAAAGAGGGCGCTCTTTGTGCCAGGGCTGTGGAAGGAACCAGGAAATAGCTTTAGTCCTCATTTATGAGGGCGCTTGTAAAGGATGACTCTTCTTTGGTCCAGTCCAAACTCTTTGGATAATGTAACATTTATAAAATGTATATGAGGTGTACAACTGTAATTTGCTGTAATGAAGCAGCTATAAACCACTGTTTAAAAATCTAATGGTGTTTGATCAGTTAAATGTGTTTTAAAATAGTCAAAGGAAAAAGGACCTGATCCCTTAAAAATAGAGGTAGTTTGTCTCAGGGAGAGAACAGATTATAAAACTGCAGAAACCTGCATATTTTAGTAAAAGCCTAAATTTTTATGAATTTATGTATTTAATAGGCATTTTTTTGGTTAGAGTGATTTTAAATATAATGTACACATGAAGAGTCAGTTTAAATTTACCAGTTCACCAGAAAAAATATCACTATAGAGTTTATTTAGCATTTGACACACAGTATCAGTGAGTGTCAAATGTTATTAAAGTACTTTTTTCTTTGTCAGATCATCACCATACGGTATTGTCATACTTTTTTAATCTTAGGAGTGAAGCCTTTTAGAAACTAGAGCTTCTGTATGTGAGAAAGTTGAATTACAAAGCTTTCTTTTTTTGAGGGCAGGCATCTTTCATATCTAAAAATGTTCATACAAAAATGCCCTATATGTGTAGCTCTTTGTATTTAAAGAGAACATTGCTGATGCAGTGAGATTTGTGACATAAATTAGAAACCTTTTGTAAAGACTGATTTCGTTTATCCTGGTGCTCTCTCTCAGCTCTATTTACAGAGCCCATTGTCCAATTGGAAGATACCTTTAGGCCAATCAGTGGAAGATACAAGAGAGATTGATTAACACTGGTTTATTTAAATTGGCCTCATTTTGGGATCTCATTTTTGTAGTCCTGAACTCTCGTTCCCTCCTTGACTTTTCCCGTGTATATGGTGGAATTTGATTCCTAGAGAATTTTCTAAGGCCAAAGCCTGTTACCCCCTATTTCGACTATATTGCTTACTCTACAGATAGATGGCTCTCCGGAGCAGTTCGTAAGTTTAGTATTTTAAGTAGAAGTTATCTTTGTATGTTTGATTTTTAAAATATCAAGCATATTTGATCAAATATGCTTATTATTTAGGAATGAAATACCGGGTAAAACATTGGAACTGTTGCTCAGGAATGTTGCAAAACAATTTACTGAAAGAATTATGAACCAGAGGTCTTTATGTAAAAACTATCCAAACATATATTGTTATTTTAAAATACTTGTATTTGTTAAGCCTACTAAGTCAGGTAAACAGAAATAACATGCATTTTAGATCAGTTGCTTTCTTTTATCCATGTGTTGCCCTGTACTGTTAGATTTGTAAGAGAGGTTCACAGGTAAATCCAGACATCTCCATTTCCTACCCAAAGCCCCACCTCAGGAAAAAAGTACCTAAAAGGCATGTTTTAGGAGGATGTGAAACTATAACATCCATTAAGACCATCATAATTGAAAGATAAAGCAAAAGTCTAAAACTAAGAGGAAAGGAATTGAGTGAATAGGTCTAAAGAGGTAATATAAAATCAATTGATTTTTTGAAGCATTTGTAGACTTCAGCTATCTAAAGTGCCATAGGGATTGGTTTTGCTCCCAGGATGTTATGTCTAGATGAAGCTGGTGATAGGTAAGAAAAGCTATCAGTTCTTAATTTGTGAGCATTAAGTAAATTAAAAATATGTTAAATTAACGAAAGGCATTAAGTAAATTTAAAGTATGTTAAATTAACAAAAGGTATTATAAATTAAAATATGTGCCTCCATCCATCTCAGTGTGGACACATTTAAAACCGTATTAACTAGATATAGCTCATCAAAACTTCAGTTGTAGTTGTCATAATTAGAATTGTTTTTCTTGATCTATTGTTTTTTATTAAGTTGTTTAGTACAGTTAAAACTGTCAGTGAATAAAAATAACTGCCACGTGCTTTTATGGCCACCCTGATGGGAATCTATAGTTCAATTTTATATGTCTCTATCAAATGCATTTCGGTGTGTACATTCTCTTGCAACCTAATAAAAATAGTAAATAAAAAGTTATTATTATTTTTTTAATTTTCATAAAAATTTCACCAAGCCCACAGATGGAACTCTAAAAGGCAACATTTGTTGTTATAGATTGAATTTTCATCAGTTTTTTTGCTTCCTAATGAGATTGTAACTCATGGGTAGCACTGGTGCAATGCTGTATATTACTGAGGTGCTAAAAGCTTCAGCTTGTTGATGGCATGTGATTGTGTTTGTTTATATCACATATAAATGTGATACATATATCACATATAAATGTGTATTCTCTCCCTCTCATTCTAGTTGGCCTGATCCAGAGGTTTCTTGTACTTCAGATTTACATACCCCTGGGACAAGACTTCTCCACTGAATTGCTGTAAGATATACAGAACTTCTTTAAAAGTTTTATGTGTATTTGACATTTGATCAATTGAAGCAATACGAATAGTCATTAATTACAAGTAGCAGCTTTTGCATTAAAGAGCAGAAACTTATCAAGTCGACATGAAGTAATTAAACTAATTTAATCGTATTTCTCAGATATCACTGTGTCTGGCATTTCCCTAGGGAAAGAAAGCAAATTTTGTCTGCTTAAGAAAATATCAAGGGTTATGAATTTGACAAAAAACAGCCTATAACTTGAAGAAATAAGTAATCCAAAAGTTGAGATTTGGGTTCAAATGAAGGGGGAATGTTATGGTTTGTACTTGTCTGCTATTGATAACTATGATGGGTTTAAAATTGATCAAAATACCTCACTTTAATGTAATTTAGCTTCAGAATATTGGTCTTCCTGTTTACATAAGATGGCTTGGAACCTATTTGTTTTAAATGGCCTTGCTATGAACAGATTGTTTAGCAAAAATGAGAATTACAGCTTATTCATTTGAGCTGTCTATTGTCTGAGATGACTCTGAGAATGAAAATAATGACTTGCACACTCACAGAGAATGGAATATCATTTAAGATTTTGTTAAGAAATTTGTATACTTTTAACAACACATTACATTTAAGGTACGCTATTTTCTAACTTTCTTTTGTGAGTAATAGCTGTCCAGGGTGTAAGCTTAGCCTTGTATTTTTCCCTGATGGAAGAAATGACTTATCCTATTAATGAAGGTGACATGTACTTGTTGCACTGGGGCAAGATGAAGGAAGAGCTTTCTTAATAAAATGGGAATAACATAGATTTGAAGTTCTTCATTTCTCTCTTTATGTGAATTAAAATATTAAAGATTTGTCCATGTGTTTGTAAAATATTTTAACTAATAATATACAGTCTTTTAAAACTAATTTTACAGATTTTTACAGAATTTTAACTAATAATATACAGTCTTGTTTTCTTGAGTGATAAAGTCTAGATGGAACAATTTATACTTTTTTTGTAATTGAACTTTAAATTTAAGTACAATTCTAAGATTTTCTATTACTGTCTGCCATGGTCACCAACATTCTTTAAAATTGTTCTTATAGTAACAGGACCAAAGGATTATTTGATGCTCTTAGTATATCTTTTCCTGGTTCTGCAGAAAAAGCATTTTCAAGACTCAGAAGATATTCTGAAAAGTACAAACTATGAAGCTTTCTTTCAGTGTAAAGGAAAGTGGTTTCCTACCAAATGGAAGAAGGCAAATTATATTTTGTTTTTAAAGTTGTTACATAGAAATTCAACTCAGTCCCCCTTCTTCTTCTGATCTCTACCACCTATACTTCGAGATTCTTCAGAGACAGTGGTAGGAACACTGGTAGTTGGCCTTTCGGGCAAAGCTGTGCAGGACCCTTTGTTGGACTTCGGAACAGCATCTTTTGCCGAGGAGCACTCTTCCCCTCTGCAAAGTTAAGGTTCATTTGTGCCTCCAGATACTTGAGTTTACCACCTTAGCTTAGTGTAGGGTTATACTGTTTTTACTAAGTTAACAATAATTAAATCTTTTAATATTGAGAAGTCTATGGGTATCTTAGTCCTACCAAGAGAGTAACAGATATAAGTATGCCTGACAACCAGTTTGTTACCCTGTTATTAAAGCCTCTTGGCTTATTTAAATTGGGGAAAACATTTTCAGGGGTGATGGGATTAAGGATTAGGTTTTGAATTCAGATGAGTATACTCACGGATTTTCTTGTTGTCTTATCCACATGGACAAACATTTGGATTTTCCAAATGGTTTTAGTTGTATAGTTTTTAGCAAATAAATGTCTTATAGACAAAAGGTTGAAATTATTAAATAACACAAGGAAGACATTCCTGACTTTGTGCATTTATCAGATTATAAGAAAATATATTAACTCTGCATTTGAATTTGTTGCTGATAATCAAAATATTTTGCTGTTTTAGGACATAATGAGAGAGACCATGTTTTTATAAGACAGGCAGACTAATGAGTATAGATTGTCTTAACTACAGCATTTTTTTTTTCCTTAAACGAAAGGGCTTTCTTTTAGCACCTATAGTGTTTTACTGTTTCTAGCAGCATAGCTCCAGGCTATTTTAAATAATACATTTCTCTAACAAGCTTGGAAAGTCACGTAGTAGAAAGATATCTCGCTTCTAAAATTTTCCATTGTCAGAATGGGAGAGGCATTTGTTTCACAAAGATACATTGACACATCAAGAGGTTTTCATAAGTGGACTCTTGCCAGCTGTGTTATGAATTTAATAATCATTTCTTCATCTTCTTCCTGTGTCTCTCATGTCCACTAGATGATTATACTGTCGTGGTGGGGCGGGGGGGCCATGTATCTGTGGGTTAGTGGATGCCTTAGAATCAGCCACAGCTCTGCTTAAGGAATCACTCAGTGAGTCAGCAAAGTACCGAATTCCTATTACTGTCAGGCAGTCTGTTAGACGTGGGGGTTGGTATGCCTCGAGTCTGTTCACTTCCCCCTACTAACTGCTACCCTCCCGCGCCGAAGCCACCGTCACAGTTCCCTCATCTACTCTTAGAGCATCCCAGTGGATTTCCCAGATCCCTCTCTTATCCTTTACCGGACTGGTCTCCATATTACAGCTGGAGTGAACTTTCTAAAAAGAAATGGGAATTCCCTTTGTACCGAGGATAAACTCCCAAATCCTTGGTGCGCCTGTGTGCTCTGGTCTCCTACTCCTCCCTTCTCTTGCTTTGAGCTTCTCCCTCTGCCCGGAGCTCCCCGTTTGTCAGCCACGCTGGCTTTCGTTCCTCCTACACCAGGTGAGGTCTCTGCTCAGGGTCCCGGACACAAAGGGTCAATATCCCCGTTTCCATGGGGTGCTGACTCCTACTCAGTCTTCTCTTCTCAGCTGAAGTGTCCTTTCTTCAGAAAAGCCTTTGATTTCTCCCAGCTAAACAAGTTTCATCTCTGTGCTCTTTTCTAGCACCCTGCTCTTCTTCATTACAACTGCCGTATTTGGTTAGCTGTCTCTGAGTTGCATGAAGACATGGACCCTCTCTGCTCTGGTCAGCATGGTGTACCAGCACCTAATGTGATACCTGGCCACAAAAGCTCTGAAATGTGATGAGTGGGCGGGGCTGGAGTAATGGACTGAAATGAATAACCAGGACCCAATCTCTCAGGGTGAAAGATCACTTAAAAGGCAGTTTAAATACATCTGGATAAATGTTAGGATGACCTAAGAGCAAGACCTGTAGGGAACATGTGAATTATAGGGTAGAAGATCATAGTCTTAGAACTGGACAGATCCAGTGTCAAAGTCTCTGGGACTTGGGACAAATTATTTACCTTATGTATGAAATGAGAGAAATGAACACCTACCATAGATGTGTCATAAAAATTAAATGAGAAAATTAACATGAAGTAATTATGACTAACGTTCATTAAGCACATACTATATACTAGGCATTGTTCTAAACACTTCAATTGTTTTAGTCCAAATAATCCTCAAAACAAACCTGTGTGATACTCGTAATTATTGCCTCTACTTTGACCATTGAGAATACTGAAGTCCAGAAAGGTTAAGGAATTTCCAAGAAGTTACAGACCTACTAACTCTTAGAGCCAGGGTTCAAACTTGCTGGCTAAATCTAGAGCCTGTGCTCTCCAGCACCATGCCCTGCTGCCATACGTAGAAGTATTGGTTTTTTTGTATCCAACTATACATATGTCCATTATGATAGGGGTATTTTATTTGAGTCTTAGTATATGATGAAAATACTAAGCCTTCTACATCTTCTTTAGGGGCTTCCCATAATACAGTATTACATTAGAGTCCCAGGAAGGAAAGGTCTGTCATTGTGAGATGTTCCTATTTCTGTCTTCACCCTTTTGAGAGACAGATGCCTGAGAGTTAAAGAATTTCACCCAAATCTTTTTTATTCTTGTATTTTGCATCTCAAAAGTGACAATATTCATAATACACTTGTTTAAAAAATGAGAGGTAAGAAACAACTTCCCATCATCTATATTGATTCTTTAATTTAGTCCATGCCTAGTCCTTTGTTTTTCTTTAACATCTAAATTATCATTCAGAATCTTGCACCTGTGGATAAAGTGGCTTCAGAGCTTCACAGTCTGACCAGCAATTACCCAAACACATTACATTTTGCATGTAGAGCAAAGAGAGTGTTTACTGTACTAACCACACAGTACATTCAGCAGTGAAGTAATGGAATCCTCTTACATTTCTCTCTTCTGGTGTCAATCCACAGAAGAATATTCCCTCCCTTGCTTTTTACAAATAAATCCTTCATTTTGACTTGCTTATTTCTCCGTATTAGTTGCAGTGTTCATTTCCAGAGTGTTAAATGAGTTAATGAACAACAGATTTTTTAGAATTCTTGATTTGGTGGTTTCTTCCATACTGCATCAGCATGGCAGTGGGAAGCCAATGACTCCCCTTTGTGGGTTGTTAGGCATTTCAGAGTCTGGGGACAGACATCTGGTGCACAGGAGGAACTCCATGAACCTGAGGTCTTGGAAAAGAACCAACTGTATCTCAAAATAGAAATTCATTTTGCTATATTTGATGCTGCCACTCACAGTAAATGATTTTGGAATATTATATTTTTTGACAGGAATTGCATTCATTTTACTGAACAGTGTTGAGCTGCATTAATTCCTTTCTGTATCCTGATTTTGTCATTAACTTGATGAATTCTGAGAGATGTTTTATGCTGTTAATGCCTCTAGTGAACTGACATTATTTTTCTCATTTTCTCTCAGCTCAACCAGTCAGTGCCTTTTCAATATAATGGTATGAAAACACTATGAAAGCCAGTGGTGGGCATCATGTGCTATTTGGAGAGGTTGAGATTCTTAGCCTGAGGGCCCTAGGGAAGGAATATTATTGTCAGAAGGTTACATATTTTTGAGCCCTTAGCTGTTTGCAGTACTATTTTCATTTGGAATCTGATAATGTAAATTCTTAAAAAAATAGAGGGA